TGGTCAAAACAGGTCATTTCGAACAGGTAATGACTTTTGATTGGTCTTTGTTTTGACGGAAAGTTAAAACTATCTTAACACGTGGTATTATTTTTTAAAAAAATTTGAATTTAACTGGAATATCAATGATTGAATAAGTAACATGATTTGGGTCATCAATGCAAACTATAGTTATGAAACATAATTAAGTTTATTATACTATTTGCGAAAGTTTCCCCAATAAAAGTTGACTTATTTAATTTTTGAAGTCTGAATTAATTATTCAACCAAAATAAATTTAAGTTTTAATCCAAATATAGTATGGAACAGACCCAATTTTTATTTTTTTTATAATTATGTTCCATCTCCTTTTTTCTTTGATAATTTTTAATTTATAAGAAGATGTAAAAGCGCATTTATCTCTATAAGAAGAGTGTGAGATATGAAGTGACAGAGGAGGAATGTCATAATTTAAGGGTTTTGTATAAAATGTCTTCTTCCTTTTTTATATTCAGAAAGTAATAAGAAAGAGAAGTGTAAAACTTTTTATTATCTTAGTATCGAGCTATTTTTCATAGGACCTCTCTTTCGATATTAATTACTTGAATTGAGTTTAATCGTTGTGCTCAGGATTGATTGATATATTCTCTACCCGGGAGTACATCAAAATATTGAATCATGGGTGGATTATTATGCTATCATTTTTGAAATTTTCATCTATAGAAAAGATATAAAAAGAAATAGATTAAAAATAACATTAATTAGTTAAATAACAAACATCAAAGAGATATTAAATGAATGAAATATCTCATTAGAGAGAATTTTCGAAAGTTACGAAGAAAACTTCAATCGCATATTGTATTGATCATGAATTCATGATTCATTAAGTTGGAAACGAGAATTAAACCTTATGAAATTAAATTTCATATTATTATCCATTATCCAATGGTACGACATGCACAATTTTTATATACAACAAGCAGGTCAAAAGGTGAACATATATAATTGAAATAAATGTAGCAATAAATTGCCTATCAGGCAGTTAAATCATAGTCATATTTTTTTTCCCTATTAGTCAAATCATATTTTATTTTGTGATTCTTCGAGATGAATGTAGAAAAATCGTGTAACATGATTTTTGTTTGGTGGAGTTTTAATTAAAGAATAATGTCACTACATATCTATGATCTCATTCTGTACCTAAAACCCTCGATTTGCTCAAAATTAAAATCAATTAATAGGTGTTAGCTATGGGAAGTTAGTTGTAAGTAAATAAAATGTCAACATTGAATCATATACTCTTAGTAAGTGTGTATCAATGAAAATTTAGATTAGTCGAGTCAATGAATTATAATTATATATTCCTAAATTATTGACATTTGGTTATTTCTCAGTTTTGATCCTTCTATTATTAGTGCGACATTTAGCCTTGTAGGGAAAGGATATTAAAAGTAAAAATTAAATTCTTAGCAAGGTGAAAAAGTTCAGGTATCCATTAAACTGAACTACGAAGATTCTAATTGAATACTGAGCAACAATCTTCTTCTTTTTACAAATACTATGTTGAAATTGATTAACTTAGAATCTTAAAGTCTAGAGAAAATGGTCTAAAATCCCCCAATCTATTTCCGAAATCTCAACTACACACTCCAACTTTACGGGTGTCCTATTACTCCCTGAACTGTTTAAAACTGTAATAATTACACCCCTAAAAAGCCATAACCTGATCTGTGTTGGTCTGTGAACTTCAAGCGTTTTACAGGTGAAAATTTAATTAATTTTTTTTTTCAATTTTTTATAATTCCTTTCCACTTTTTCCTATACTCTCCCAATTTCTTCAAATCTTTAAGGTAACTTCTTCCCCCAATTCTTTCAAATTCCTATGGAATTGTGAGGACCAAAGATGAATATTGATAGCGGGAGTTTGTCAAGCGATATTCGAGTTTCGCTTGTCGGAGAACATTGAAAAATAATCTAAAAGGATTTGTGCATATCGCTGCTACGTCGAAGTTTTTCTTACTTCGCCGGAGCTCGCTGGTTGGAGCAGTGCACCCGCAAGGTTTTGTTGTTGTTGTTGTAGTCGACCTTGTTGTGAGAACAGAGGTAGATCTTCATGGTGGTTGTCTCGGAATGGGAGAGAGATAAGAGGAGAGGGGAAGAGGAGAACGGGGTTTTGTTAGTGGTTTGGGTTTTGTCGGAGGCGGCGACAGTGATGGCTGATGGTCGAGCAACAAAAGAGGGAGAACAAACGAAAGCACTAGCAATGCCATTAATGGAGGTCAATTGAGATTGAATCCTTTCATTGATTAATTGAAATTTGAGATTGATAATTAAAGGATTTACAATAAAAAGGAAAAAAACATTCTCATTAGGGAGTTCAATTGAATTTAATGTAAACCCAATTTTATTTTATTTTTCAAATCTGATCCATATTTCATTTTTGGATGATTGAAAAACATGTCATTTTATCTTTAATTGAATTGATTGTTTTTTCTAAGTTTTTTACATGAGAGTTTATAAGTTTGTGTGAATCAATAATGGTGAATCCGGTATGAGAATTTGGTCTTTGTTGCTATGGAGAAGAAACAATAGTTTATTTAAGCGTGGGAAAGATGACTGTTGGAGAAAGAGGAAATTTTCGTCAAAATTCACCTTCTAACGCGCCTAGAGGAGGTGAGAACACCTCCTATGACAGGTCAACACTTAAGTGTGTAGAAAATAGAGAAATATAAAATTTAGAGGGGGTAATAGGACACCTTTAAAGTTGGAGTGTTAGTTGAAATTTCGGGTATAGATTGGGGGGGTTTTAGATTATTTTCTTTAAAGTCTATAATAAATGAACTTTGGTAAAATAAATACGATTTTGATAATATTGAGATGTAATTATCATAGTCATTTTTGGTCACTATTGAAGAAGGTTTTAATTCCCTGCAGAGACAATATTGTTTAGCGATTTCTTTTCTTCTTGAGTTTTAGACTTTTAGTGGAAAATATTATCTGATACATGTAAATTGTGTTAATGAAAATAACAGGTACCTAATAATAGAGGCGTACAAGATAACAATTTTACTAATATGTATATACTACCATTCAATTCTCTTTTCCTTTATTTTTTTTTAAAATTTTTATACATGTGTAATTGCTTTATAACAATAAATGATTTAGTGGCATTGCGGCAATGATATAGTTGTCATTAAATTATATTCGGCGATAATAACAAATATGAATATTTTTAATCAATAATTTCTATATTGCTAAAGGATATAACAACAGTAATTCAATTATTATCAAATAATTTTACGGCAATACATAATACAACTAAAAAAATCTATTTTCACCTAGGTCTTTTTTTGTTATTATGTTGTGATTTATCATGTCCATGTGTAATGTGTTTTGAGAATACATAACACTATTTCTACGCTGAATGTAATTAATTATTGTTTAAAGGGGAAAGTGATTTAGCCATGATTCATTTTTCATTAAAATACACAGCTTGACCATGTAATGACCAATTAATTAATTAGCTGTGAGCTAAAAGATTAGTAGTAATAAGTACTCCTTTTTTAACAAAATATACTGGCTATATTAAATGTTATATTACTAGAGTACAGTTTCATCCTATTTGTTGTGAATTTTGTAGCATTTTAAATTTCTAATTTAACTTAAAGAAAGTTAGGTAAACAGCTATAATTAATATCTTAAATAGCCTAAAAATATTAAAGGCACTAATTTCCTTTAATGAATCTAATTTGTGATTTCCGGTAAGTAAACACCATTATTGTAAATGTAATTATTTATACTTAAAGGCAGAATTAGTGCTAAACGTAAGTTTTTTGATTGATCAAACAAAAGAAATTACTTAATAAATCAAATTAGTACAATTTTGGTGATATTTTTTTTAATGAAATGTAGGGTAGTTCAATCATTTAATTAAACTGTGCACCACCTCTTTCTTCCAAAATGGAAACCCAAAAACTAATAACACTACTATTTAAGGTAGATATTTAATATTTTAATCTAAATATGTTATTAACACTCTTAACTACTTCTTTATTAAATATTTTACTTAAATAACACTCCTCCATAAATTTGATAACAGAATCACTTTGGAGGAAAAGAGTCAAAACTGCAAATTGCTCTTGCTTGACCATAAAGAGTAAAGGAATAAGTTTGAAACTCCTCGCTAGCGAAATCAAGCGATTTGTCTTCTCGGTCGAGTTTATTACACCAAACTTGTCTAATACTCCATGAATTATCTATTTGATGTGATATGCAAGCTATTGCAATTTATCCAATGATGACAAGTTGTCATTATCATAATAAAATAAAAATAAACAGTAAAGGAAATTAACTTTGTCAGATATTAATTGGAAAAAAATGCTGCAGCGCCTACAGCTAAAAAGAAATTACTCATTCTATAGGTTATTTATAAGGGGAATTCTATAGGTTATTTAATAAGTGGAATAAGATGAGATATTTTTAGAATATTATCAATCAAATGCGATGTATAAAGTTTATTTCAAACTTAATTCTAGGATATCTCATCTTATCTCATCCAACTTTAAATTATTTTATTCCATTTCTCAAATAGGACAAATTAATCCAAAACTTAAAAAATTAGAATAATTTAATTCCTGTTCCTAATGAAATGAATCTTAAAGGCTCATTTGATTAGAAACATCAAAATTAATTATCTCAAAATTAATTATTTTACTCTCAATATAAAATAAAAATAACATACCATCTCGAACATAAATAAACTCATCCTAAAATTAACCACCAAATTAGTTACCACTTACTACTCTTCTTTCCTACCAAACCAAATGTGCCCAATTATATAAAGGTAAGTTAAGAACCAATGCAATATAGAGTTTGTTCTTCATAAAGCTATTGACTTGATAGCCCAATCAACAAACTCTGCTACATTTAATTCTCATTCTCTCGTCCCTCCTTTTACTCCACAAAAATACAAAACAGGCTCAAAACCCAAGAGCTTTTTTCATATAGTGGTGATCTTTGGCTACTGAAAATTTCCAAAAAGCACCAAAAAAAACATCTTTTCAATTTTCCTGCACTTTTTTTGCCGCCTCCATCACTGAAAAAATGCTCTTCAACTTCCTCTACTATCATCTTCATCACTTTCTCATAGAAAATTGCTTCAGAAACCAACTATGAAAAAGGAGACATTTTTAATTTACAAGAAAAGACCATGGATGGTGTCATTAAGAGGAGGTCTTTATATGCAATTGGTTCTTGTTTTCTGCTTTTTCTCTTAGCTTACAACAGTTCCACTGTGTTCTATGTTCAAGTCCCGGTTCCGGGGAACTCCTCGCCGGAGATTTCAAGTTTTTTAACTGAAAATGTCGCCAGAAAATCAAGAAAGTTGGTTTCTTTATCTACTTCAGCTAAACTTTCATCCTCTGTGATATATGCAGTAAAAGAAGAAACCCCACTTGTAAAACCAAACACCCAGTTGATAATTTCCCGGAAAAATCCAAACTTGGTGGGTTTTACATATGATTCAGTGGCTTATCAACCTAGAAGAAGGAGAAAGAATAAGCCTTTGGTGAAGGTTCTTCCTTCAGGGGACAGAATCAATGTGTTTTCAATGAGAATGAAGGAGTTTTTTGGTTCTAAATCATCCAATTCTTCCTGTAAGTTTCGATTTTTCATGACTTGGATTTCTTCCATTGAATCTTTTGGTGGAAGGGAACTGTTTGCTGTGGAGAGTCTGTTTAAGGCACACCCAAATGGCTGTTTGGTCATTGTGTCTACTTCAATGGATTCTCCAAGAGGAATGCAAGTTTTAAACCCTTTCTTGGAGAAAGGATTAAGGGTAACTGCAATTTCACCTGATTTTATGTACTTGTTTAAAAATACTATTGGTCAAGCCTGGATTGATAACTTAATGAAGGGTAATATTGACCCAGGGGAAGTTTCTTTAGGTCAGAATCTCTCAAATTTGTTAAGACTTGGTTTACTGTATAAGTTTGGTGGGATTTATTTAGATACTGATGTTATAGTGTTGAAGAGTTTTGGGAAGCTAAGGAATGTTATTGGGGCTCAAACTATTGATGTTGAAACAAGAAATTGGAGTAGGTTAAATAATGCTGTAATGATTTTTGATAAGAGGCATCCTTTGTTGTACAAGTTTATTGAAGAATTTGCACTTACGTTTGATGGGAATAAATGGGGTCATAATGGTCCTTATTTGGTTTCAAGGGTTGTGTCAAGGGTAAGTGGAAGAGATGGATACAATTTCACTGTTTTTCCCCCAATGGCTTTTTATCCAGTTGATTGGAATAGGATTGGTAGTCTCTTTCTTGGGCCGAGGAACGAGACTCAGTCGAAATGGTTGCTCTTGAAACTCCAGCAGATTCAGAGTGGAAGTTTGGCAGTGCATCTTTGGAACAAGCAAAGTAGAGAGCTTGAGGTTGAAGAAGGAAGCATAATTCAACATATAATGTCAGATTGTTGTGTTTTCTGCAATTCTTACTCATCAAAGTTGTAAGTATACACCACGGAAAATCAGCGTCAGCGTGTTTTATTCTTCATTAATTGTTGTAGGATTATGGACCACCTAAGTTCATTACATAGGTTGTCTTGAAGAATCTTAGGTGGTACAGAAGTAATGCAGGATTCATGTATTCTACTTCATTGTCTATGTGATTGAACAAATTATACAAAGATAGAACAGCAGAATTATTGCTAAGTTCCCATCGACTGAAATGCTATTGGCCCCACGATTTAACTGGATAAATATCTTGATTTTTTTGCTTGTGTTTGGCAAAGACTTCAGTTTTCTTTAATATCAAAGTCACAACAGTAGTTGGGAGGGCGTCTATCAGCTAATGAATTGATTCAGGACCACTATATGTAATGTGATGCTGTTAGCTTATTCATTGAATAAACATTTGAGCTATTACTGATCAGCTCGTGCCCTTACTTTAATTATGGTCCAGAGTTCGTTCACATTGTTGTGCATGAAATTATGCTAGCTCGAGGGAAGCAAGTGAAATGTTTCCCTCTAAATCTGTAGGAGACAGGGTGCTACCTGTATGATAATAGGTTAGTAAGCAAGTTTCTGCTGGAATTATTCATAAACTACCCTACTAACACTAATAATTCATAATTCTATCTGGTTAGTTCCATGTGAATGTAATTTGTGCAGAAAAGTCATGAAGATGTTGTGATCCAACCACCTTCAGTGATATCTCCTTACTTGGTGCACAAATATTTTGTTGACCTGAAACAGGATTATCATGAAGAATACTTGGAAATTTCCTCACTCATATCTGTTAATTAAAGTAAAATGACAACCAGACATATTGAATCTGCAGCTCCTCCATCACTCCTCATATCTGTTCATTTTTGTGACACTGATTACGAGCTTTCATTAACTACATTACTTCATTATAACTGAATTTGTATCCTGTATTGATCTTCATATTGTCCTTTCAAGACTAGAATAATGTCATTAAACTGAGATTCTCTGAAGAGGCCAGGAGAATTATTCTCTGTGATTGTATGTTTCTAGAATGGTACACTTGGTGCTTGACACTTCAATTATTGTCTTCTATTTTATTCTCCCTTTTGGTGGGGGGTGGGGGAGGTGGTGATCCTGTACTCTCTGCTTTCAACACAATAAAGAATGTAGATACTATCAACTAATATTTTATCTAGCGGTCGATGACTACATAAACTTCCCTAAGCTTGCTGAATTTGAGATTGAAAGCAGTGTTTGTTAAGTTTCTTAGGAAATGCATATGCTGCACATGGTTGCTATCTTTTGAGTAGATACCACTCCACACATGGGCCAATCTACTTTCGTTTTTTTACCCGTTTTTCACTCACTTTATCCAGTTACATTGCTGATCAAATTGGTGTATTTGGAGTGACAAAATCTAGATATTTACCAAGTTACAGGACCAAAAAAAGGTAATTAATGTTTAGCTGGTGGAACTTTGATGACCAGTCCTTTTCTTTGTTTTCTGCACTATGTAGTGCATGTGCTCCTTTAAGAGCTTTCACTTTCAGGTCTATCTGTTTGGTGTACTCCCAATTCAACTTCACCAGAATGCTCAAAATAATTGCTAGTATCATTCTCTAAATACCTTAGAAGAGGTTGAACATTATAGAAGAAAAAAGGAGGCATATCATTTAATTCATTTTCCATTGAGGACTGACCAAAATGTTTGACTTGCTATTTAGTATTTTAACAACTTTTATTCCTTTACAGTAATTCATCCTATACATGACAGAACCTTTTGATTTCTGCAAGTTTTATTAAAGACTAAAAGCAAAAAAAAAAAAAAAAACTAAAACTAAAAGATGAAAAAGGTAACCAGAAACCACCACCCATGGCATTGATCTAGTGATAAGAGAGTAGTGCGTGATGCATGGGTTAGGCACTCGTCACAGGTTTGAACCCTACCATGTACAAAAGTTTGGCATTTTAAGTGGAAGGATAAAGGGTCTGGCCCATCAAGTGTCGATTTCTGGATTGTGCTAACATTGATCCTCAGGGATTTCTTGATAGTAAAGTAAAAATAAGGGTAAACAGAAGAAGGTAACAATGGTCCAGTAAAAGTCAGTGGAATATCAAGTGGAACCTATATACAGATATTCACCATCAGTACTCTGTTGTTCTTACAAAAAAAAGGAAAAAGAAAGTGAATGAAGAGAATCTATGTATTACTTCTATGTTTCTAGATATCGAATTTCAATGTCATCAAGATACAAGAAAAGCCTCACCCCTAACGACAAAAAGATATAAAGTTTCTTGTTTTGTTTATAACTTTATATTTTGTGCAATGCAACACAGATATTGTTAAGCTGGCAAATCAAATAAGTGTCTCAAGAGCAAATGCCAACTTTCTTCTGGCTGCTGCTAAAACTATGATATCTAATATGCCTCTTTCATTGTGTCTGCATTAGATGTTTGACATCTTCAAGCTCCAATTCACCACCTTGTTGTGGCCTATCATTCTGGAACATCATTTCGATTTCTTCCAATGATTTCCCCTTTGTTTCTGGAACACATTTATGAACAAAAGCAACAGAGAGAGCTGATATAGCAGCAAACACAAAAAATGTTCCTCCTACTGTAATCATACGAGAAACGGAGAGGAAAGACATTGCAACCACACCACTACTAACCCTGCTCCCTACTGCACCAAGAGCTGATGCTTGAGCTCGAAGTCTCAGAGGGAAGATTTCAGATGTCAAGACCCAACAAATTGGTCCAATCCCCACGGAAAAGAATGCTACATTTCCACACACACATAAGATTGCCAGCTTGATACCAACTGAACCATTACCCAGTAGAGAAAGTGTGAGGCCAAGGCCAAACAGACAAGTAGTCATACCAATTGTGCTGACATATAACAAAGGTTTCCTGCCAACTTTGTCAATGAGCAATATGGCTATCAAAATGAATATTGTTTTTGTGAATCCAACAGCAACAGTTGCAGCTAGGAGCTGAGTGTTACCCTTAATTCCTGCATCCTTAAAAATTGTTGGACTGTAATACACAGTGGCATCGATACCTGTGACCTGTTGAAAGCACTGAATACCACAACCTGTAATCAGCATTCTTCTAACTCCAGGTGAAGGATTTAGCAGTTCACGCCACACTGCTTTCTCTTCATACTTCTCAGCATTAACATGGCCTGCAGCTAGCTGAATTTCTGCTAGCCTCTCTTCCACTTCATTAGCATTTTCATTAGTTTTAAGTAGGACTAACCTTGCTTCATCAATCCGGTTTTTCATCACCAACCACCTTGGAGATTCTGGAATGACAAATAGCGCGATACCAATAAAAACTGAGGGGAGAATCCCCACACCAAGCATGACTCTCCAGTTTATATGGGGGGATAAACCAGAAAATGCATAATTTGAAACATAACCTAAAAGAATTCCTAGATTGATGAATATCTCAGGGAAGGAAGTGAAAGACCCTCTAGCAACCGTGGGTGATATCTCTGCAATATAAACAGGTGCAATCATAACTCCAAAACCAATACCGATTCCAGCCAAAAATCTGCCAATCATTAACACCTTGAAGTCAGGAGCAAGAGACATTATAAGAGCCCCAGATTGAAACACAATGGCTGCAAAAGCCATGGTCCACTTCCTGCCGATGGCATCTGAAGTTCTTCCTCCTGCTAAACTCCCCAAAAGTGAAACTATGCTCAAGATTCCAACAAGAACTTCTTCTTGTACTTCAGTAATATTCAAGTCTTGCTGAATGAATATAATAGCTCCACTCATAACACCAACATCTGTAAATGGAATAATTCCTATTAGATACTAGCTTTGAATTGAACACATAACCAGCTAAAACACTGAGGTGAGAGGTCTATGCCAAAAACATTTGGTATAATGCTGAACAACTAAAGGGAAGTGGGACCAAAATGCTAAACCTAAAAGACACTTAGCAGCCCGGTGCACTGAGCTCCCATTACGCACGGGTCCGGTAAAGGACCGGACCACAAGTGTCTATTGTACACAACCTTACCCTACATTTCATTAAGAGTTCATCAAGAGCTCAAAAGGAGGTCTTGGCTATTTATAAGGTTCTTTTAGAGGTAGGTTTCAAAAGTGAACAAAATCTACTAAACTCTTGGAGCTTTATGATGACATTAAAAAAAAAGCACAACAACAGACTGCATAATCCAGTATCCTCTAGCCTTATGAATCAGTATATGATGCAGAAACAGAATCCTAAAGCTAATCTTGCCACTCCAAATATATGGCAAAACCATTGGTAAAGCAAAGAGAATCAATATAAAGATGAGAGGAACGGATAAAGGAATGGAACACAAAAGGACAAGAATAAGCACTATTCATTAGGAGAAGAAGTAGATATACCAACCATATCCAAGCAGCACAGAATTAAGTGAGGCAAAGATGGCACAAACCAAAACATATTTTCTGCTGCTCATATCATTTCTTTTCTCTTCACATAATACAGCAACGTCCTCTTCCATTCCATCAGAATCCATCCTCTTATACTTCAAAACACCCCCATTCCCATTTTCTTGGATACCCATCTTCTCTGTATTTCTCAATATCTAAATCCTTCTCTACACACTAATCAAACAAAAAGATTGTTTTTTTTCTTCTGGGGTTTTGTTAATTTTTCTCCTTGTTATCTCAAAATGTCTAAAATCTGGGATCTGCAATTTCTTTCTTCTTTCTCATATGTTGGAAAGACTATTCCTAGATCTGAGGAATCAAGAATTCAGAAAATACTAACTTTTAACCAATGTGAGACTGACACTCCACCTTTGGAGGGTCAAGAGTGTTTTTCCTAATCCTTATGATGTAAATACATTACCAAAGAAAACAAAACATTCAAAAAAAGGAAAAGAAATTGTTTTATACAGTTTCAATTTTCAAAATATGTGTGTAAATGCATGAATGGATATTATCAAACTTGTGTTATTACCATAAATATAAATTTGATTACCATAATCTTGTCGGTAGACTTTTTTTTTTTTTTTTGGATATAACTGTTTTGCTTTTCAACACGGGAGTCATTTGAAGGACTTATACTAGTTATAAATTATAAATATGTTCATTTGACTAAAATATTTTGTATTAAATCAATATGTCTTCATGTTATATCCTAAATTAATTATCTATCTGGTTCAACTACTTATGTGAAAATTTTAAAACTATAGACAAAGAAGATGAAAAAAATATAAGTATATTTCAAAACTGTAATGGACCTGATATGACTTCATGCTTTATTCC